ACACAGGCCAGAGACCTGCCCCAAAACAATCCCTGGAGCAGCTGGGTTAGAAAAACCCCAGGCTTGATTTGTAACTTGCCAGTGATGGCGAATCCACCAGGACTCGTGGGAATTTGTCCCAATGGTTAGTTACTCTCACTATTAACATTTGATGCCTTATTTCCAGTTAGGGTGACCAGATGTCCTGATTTTATAGGGACAGTCCCAATTTTGGGGTCTTTTTCTTATATCGGCTCCTATTACCCCTACCCCCACCCCGATTTTTCACACTTGCTGTCTGGCCACCCTATTTCCAGTCCAAATTTTGCTGGCTTCAACGTCCAGCCATTGGCTTGGGTTAGACCTTTCTCTGTTAGATTGAAAAGCCCAGTATTAAATATTTGTTCCCTACGTAGGTACTTATAGACTGTGATCAAGTCACCCCTTCACCTTCTCTTTGGTAAGCTAAATAGACTGAGCTCCTTCCAATCTTCACGATAAGGCTGGTTTTCTGATGCTTTAATTATTCTTGTGGCTCATCTCTGACCCCTCTTCAATTCATCAAGATCCTTCTTGACTTGTGGACACCAGAACTGGACCCGGGATTACAGCAGTGGGCGCAGCAGTGCTGAACGGAGGTAAAATAACCTCTCTGCTCCTGCTCAAGATTCCCCTCTTTATGCATCTTTTTGAGAGACAAAACTGAGTTTAGGCAAAGGATTCTACACTATATTTCACGAGATGTTTGCACTGTATATTGCCGGGGAGTTATGGCCCATCTGAGGCATCAATGCTGTACATTTCTGTAACTGGACCGTAGAAATATCTGAGCGAGCAAGGGCCTTTTGGAGCCGGCTGCTCCCCAGCAGAGGGGCCTGCGTGAGGATAAAATGTAGAAATGAATGAATTCTGTACATTGATTTTATCCTTCTGTAGTGACACCTCTCCAGCAAGTCTGCAAATCAAACAAAGATTTGGCTGGAGCGCATTACTACCTCAAGGCAAATCTGAAACCTAATTGCCATCCTAAGACTGGCACATGGCCCAGCCTTCAACTCCTACCGATTTAGGAGACGTCCAAGTGCAACCATCAGTCAAGAATGCCCAAATTAGAGCTATACATAATGGACATAAACACGTGCACATTCACATCCTATCTCACCCGTCTAGAGCGCCTGCCATGGGAGGCTCTCAAAGTGGGGCTGGCCACAAATCACGTAATACGTTAAGGGGTGGGGGTGTATGTTACAAAATGTTACCAGAAGTGGTGGGGCTTGAAAAATCACCAAAAAAAAGTTACCTAATTTATGGACAGCCCCTTACTAAATCAAACCTCATGACTGTCCTGTGGGAGGTAGGTGTTTATTACTAGTCCCTTTTTTATGGGTGGGGAAACTGAGGCACGCAGCTGATGTGTCTTGCCCAAGATGACACAGCAATCAGTAGCAGAAACAGTAGACCCAGATCCTGACTCCCCGTCTTGTTTGAGGCTCACTGGATGATTCTACTGCCCCATCCAAACTATCCAATAACCAGCCCCTCTCCATGGCAGTCCACACGGGCACACAACAGTTCTTCACTCTCAAAGACACAAATAAGGCCAAATACACACGGATAGGGTGGTGCCCAAATTCCAGCAGAGCTAAGTGCAGTCTGCCAGCCACAAATCCCCGCCGCAGTTTCCATTGGGTACAGAATTCTTCTTCATGGCCTGCCCTAAACTGTGGCACAGCATTGCACAAACTGTTCCACCCCAGAGGTGGCTGCATTTCAGTGCGTTGTAGGTGAGGGGATCCCAGGCTAGATGAAATCTGTGAAGCACATCAGGAGCTCCTAGATGAAAGGCACTAGAGGACATCTGCTTGCTTGGGGGTTTGCCAGAGGTAGGGGGTTGGGCAGGGCGTGCTCTGCTCTGCTCTGTAACCGGTTGGGGATGTTGTGCTCATTATCTTGGCAGGGTGTCAGCCAGAAACCAGGGGTTTGTCTTTTGCTGCAGCCAGCTTGGCAGCAGGAAATCAGTAGGTTGCTTTGCTCATGCAAATGCCCCTGAGGCTTGGGCAGTGGTGCAGGGCGTTCTACCCCAGGCAGACCACAGCAATGCGCACACACAGACTGGGGCGGGCCTCTCATTGACTGATCAGGGCTGCAAGGCGCCAGTGATCTGCTCCTCAGCCTTTCGTCAGCACCTTCCCATCAGCTGGCGGTAGGGCAGGGGCTGCAGGATTTCCAGGGTTTGCTAGAGACATGGGTGGGGACAGCGGGGGAGGGAAATAGGGAGTGGAGGTTCTTCAGGATCCCTGTTCCCATCCCCAGGGGTGCTGTGGCCACTCCAAGCACTAGCAGGACACGAGAGGGACGGAGCGTCAGCACCACAACCTGCTCAGTCCCCACCGCACTGTGTGGGCTGCCTGGCCCTGCTCCCACCCTGGCTGGCCCGGGAGCAGCACAGCCTGTGGTCTCAGCCCCCCTCTGCAGGCCTGGGTATAGGGATGGGCAGATGTGCTCTCTTGGCATAGGGCTACTGGAATGAGGGTCTCCCAGGGCCAACAGCTCCTTGGCAGCAGCCATCGGGCATGGGCGGCCCCTCAGCGGGACTCTGGCTGGGGCAATGAGGTTGATCACGGGAACACCCACTGCCCACGCTGACTAAGGCCATCAACCTGACCCATGGGCAGCCAACGGTTCCAGGGCAGGGAGCCCGGAGCCAGCCTTGGGCAGGGCTCTGTACAACTCCATCGCTGCAGGGATTGGGGTCTGAACCGGCTCCGGCTCCTTCCCAGACTGGCGCCACATGGAGCCCTTCACTTACGGCCTTGTAGCCGGGGGGGCGTGCCAGGAGCTCTGCACCCTCCTGTCCCCACAGGGTCAGATGGGAGCCGAGGCTGTGCCAGGAGCACGTGTGGGCACAAGCATCTCTGCACCGTGACCCATATGCCAGGCACGGGGCTGAAGGGCCTGGCCCAGAAAAGCCCTCCCCATGGTGAAAGTGCCCCCCCATGGACCCACAAGAGGCTACAGCGGAGCCCTGCTGAGCTGATACAGGAGGGGCCTGGTCTCAGAGAGGCCAAGCAAGGGGAGCCCATGCCCTCTGTATGCCATGGGGCAGGCCACCAACCCAGCTCTCTTGGCACCACCGGATAGAGGGGGCTTGGGGATGGTGCGGGGACTGGGGGGAGGCCAGGGGAGCCAGGAGTAACCAGGGGGTGCCAGGCTGGTATCCTGGGCCAGGTGCCTGTGGCTACAGCCTGGCTGTCTTGAGCCGAGGGGTGTATGAAGTCAGGGCTGGGTGGGCTCACCCTCCAGGGGAAATCTCAGCCCCAGTTCCCTCCTCTGCAAAGGAGGCGTCCCAGGGCATGTGGGATCCGTACAGGCACCAACAGGCCCTGGCAGCTGCTGTGAAAATGTAGCGCACAAGGCAGGCAGCTGCGGTGATTAGATGCACTGGGCGGATGGACCCTCAGCTGTGCAGACCCCCAGTGCCGGCTGAGCTAGGCAGGGGGCGCAGAGCTTGGGAGGGGGGCAGCATGCGGGAAGGCGGGGGGTTGGGGGGAGAAGCAGAGCAGACGGGTTCTGTGCTCTGAGGCTGCACAGGAGGGACTGGCCGATGAGTTTGTCCGAGTGCGTCTCCCTTCCCACCCCCAGCCCCCTTTGCTCAATCGCATTTCTCCCTCCCCCATGCCAGACTTCTCCACAGCTTGGCCTGGTGCGCCTCCACACAGCCCTGCCCCACACCCCAGCCCCTGCTCCCCCAGACTCCCGCACGACCCGCCCCCAATCCAAATGATCCCCAGCAATGTCTGCAAGCTGATGCTACAGGGGCATGGTGTGTGGGGGGGATGCAGAGAATGGGGGAGCAGCGGTACCGGACTGCTCATATCCACCTGCACCCCCACTGCACTGGGGCATACGGCCAGCGACGATGCACCCCCCCACACACACTGCACTGGGGCATACGGCCAGCCACGATGCACCCCCCCCACACTGCACTGGGGCATACGGCCAGCGACGATGTACTCCCCCACCCCATCCCCACTGAACTGGGGCATACGGCCAGCGACGATGCACCCCCCCACACACTGCACTGGGGCATACGGCCAGCCACAATGCACCCCCCCACCCCACCCCCACTGCACTGGGGCATACGGCCAGCCACGATGCACCCCCACCCCACCCCACCCCCATTGCAAGAGTTGGGCAAAATTTTTCAGTGAAAACTTTTTTTAAGCAACAAATGAAGATTTGGTGACACCAGAATATTTCATGTCAATTCCATCAAATTGTTTTGTTTAAAAATCCAAACAAACTCCAAACCCACAACGCCCCCAATATAAAAAAAATGCAATTTTTTGATTCAAAATAACTTTTTGTTTTGAAATTTCCTGTAATTTTATTTTCAAAAAATTTAAAACCATTAAAATGCTCAAAATTGAAACCAACCATTTGGGTCTGACCGGAAACCACCTTTTTTTTTTTTTTTTTTTGATTCACCAAAACTTTACTTTTCATTTTAGCCCCAAGTGAACTTTTTCTTTACGTTGCCAACTGCCCGGTGTGGATGCCACCCCGGCTCGGGACAGAGAGCTGGGAACCGGTTCAATAGCATCTCTGGACCACTTTCAGAGTGGCTGTACGTGCCCAAGGCCCTGCGATTACAGCTCCATGTGACCAAATCCCGTCTGAAAATATTCCCCAGAGTCTTTCCAGACACACTGCTCTCTGGCGCGCTGGCCAAGCCTGTGGCAGGCGTTGTGCCCTCTGGAAGGAGAAGGCCCATGCTATGGCAGAGAGCCCGAGGGGATTTTCATGCAGTAACAGCTGGATTCTGCTGCCAGCCTGCACCTTTCTCGGCTCCAAGATCATTCCCAGCCCCCTTCATTGCATGCCAGGGGGATGAATCAATAGTAACAAGTGACTCTCTCTAGGTCAGTGATGTGCACAAATCCAGCCAGCATTTACTACAGCATCCCCCTAGCCAGCCCCTGCTCCTAGTTCCAATGGGAGCCGGCAGCTGCACCCCTCACCTTGACGAAGAGCTGGAGTTTGGAGCTCTCGGCCATCCTTTGCTGACTGCTCTGGACAGGCAGGAGTTGCTCTGAGTACACACGCTCAGGCAGGCCGTCTTTATACAGCACCGTCACGCACTGCCCCGCCTTTTCCTGAGCTCCTCCAAGTGCATTCCTCTCTGGGGAGAGTGCAGCACCCTGGGCTGGGGGTTGTTTTCCTCCCAGTCTCCCAGAAACTAACCTGCCGCACCTGATTGTCACAGTAACTTCTCGCTTAACGTTGTCGTTCTGTTCCTGAAAAATGCGACTTTAAGCAAAATGATGTTAAGTGAATCTAATTTCCCCATAAGAATTAATGTGAATGGGGGGGTTAGGTTCCAGGGAAATTTTTTTTGCCAGACAAGACTATATTATCTCTCTCTATATATATATACACACATATACACAGTATAAGTTTTAAATAAACAATTTAATACTGTACACAGAGATGATGAGTGTGAAGCTTGGTTGAGGTGGTGGAGTCAGAGGGTGGGATATTTCCCAGGGAATGCCTTACTGCTAAATGATGAACTAGCACTTGGCTGAGCCCTCAAGGGTTAACACGTTGTTGTTAATGTAGCCTCACACTCTACAAAGCAGCACGAATGGAGGGAGTGGAGACAGCATGGCAGAGAGAGACAGAGACACACACAGTGTGTGAGAGAGAGACACACATTGCCCCTTTAAGTATGCTGACCGCACTCTAAGTACATTGCCTTTTTAAGTAGATCGGCAAGTTGAGACAGCAGCTTCTACCAGCAAGCTCCCTCCGTCCTGAGCCCTGTCGTGTCCCCCCCACTCTGTGGAGATGGCCCGATGGGGTAAGCGGGGGGGGGCAGGAGCAGGGGGGAGGGGGACACCCTGACATTAGCCCCCCCACTTCCCCTCTCTTGCAAGCAAGCAGGAGGCTCCAGGGAGCAGCTCCAAGGCAGAGGGCAGGAGCAGCACATGGCAGTGGGAGGAGGGACAGCTGAACTGCCCAGCAATTGCTAGCCTGCTGGGCGGCTGCCGCACAAGGAACTTAGGGAGGGGAGAGCTGATGGGGGGGCTGCCGGTCCACCCTGGTTCCAAGCCCCCACCAGCTAGCTCCAACGGGCTGCTCTTCCTGCAAGCAGTGGACAAAGCAGGCGGCTGCCAAACAACATTATAAGGGACATTGCACAACTTTAAACGAGCATGTTCCCTAATTGATCAGCCACAAACAATGAAACAACGTTAACCGGGACGACGTAAAGTGAGGAGTTACTGTATTTCCAGAGAGCTCAACGGAGAGAATTCCTGGGCCCCTCTTCGGAGTGTCCGATGGCCACAAGGCAACACCATGCCCGCATCACGCAGCAGGCATCGAACAGCGCAGCTGCCCTATTCACTACCAACTTATGCAACCAACCGTGGGTCGTGTATTTCAGACGCTCCAACCCCGAGTGCTTCCCAGCCACCGAGGGGACACAAGAGCTCCCGGGGAGGGGAACGAATTGGCCTGGGCATGGGAGAAGGGAACTGTTTGGACAGAGCCGAGTGTTCTAATCGCACAAGTCAGGCTCCCCGAAATCATGAGATTGGATTTTAAAAAATCACGAGATTTTAGAAAAGAATCAGCGCTGGGTGTGTTTGTGCTTCTCTCTGCAGCCACGAGGGCAAGAAACTGCCTTTCTTCGAGAACGGGCATTGACATGTTCCCCTAATTTGTGATGTGTAATAGTGTTCTGTGGGCGGATCCTCACGGATCCCATGTCCCTCTATCAGAGAGACTGGGCAGAGGGGTGGGAGCCCCCGGGCGGAGGGAGCAGGGCGGGGTAGAGACAGGCCAGATCTGGGGGGCTGGCTGCAGCAAGGCCCGGGGAGAAGCAAGAGGGCCCTGTGGAGCTGACACGATGAGGCTGGGTGGTGGGTTAGCTGGAGGACGGTGGGGGCGGGCGATGTTGGGAGCTGAGCTGAGGGGCAGTGTCCTGCAGCAGCAGGAGTCAGGGGGAGCTGAGACTTGAGGGGGCCTGGCGCAGGGTAAGGGGAGGCTGATGGGGCTGAGGGTGGCATCATGAGCTCTTGGGTGCAGTGTCTGAGCCGGTTACAACAGCCGGGGGGTCTATGGCTGGGTTGGGGAAGTGGGGATAAGAGCTGGAACTCAGACAGAGCTTGAACAGTGGGTTCGCTCCGGCCTGGCTGGGCTCTGGGCTCACCAGGATGGACAATGCTTTAACTTTTCTGGCTCTATGCTCACCTGACGACTTCCTCTGCTGTGTTCCAGTTAACTAGAAACCCGCCTGTTTTGACAGCACTGTGTGGGTGTCCCTGCAAATGCCTGGGGAGGTGTGCTGATCTTAGCGGGCGTTCAAGGCTCTGCCCAGGGTCTGTCTCAGCTGGATTCACTGAACAGAGTTCCCGGGCTGCTGGAGCCCCAGAGGTTTGGTCTAAGGAGGGGTGGAGGCCACGTGGGCTACACGGGAGGTCGAGTGAGATCCTGTGGAGGGGGGCTGGCGTGTTCCAAAGCTGGCGTGGGAGCACTGACTCTGTGGATCCGTGACCCAGGGAGCACCCTCCAGGAAGGGGTGAAGAAGCTGGCCATGGCCTCGGGGTGCCCAGCCTGGGGCTCACAGAGACTGGGGCAGTTCTGCTGCACTGCCCTTCCAACCGCTGCTTTTCCTCGCGCCGGATTGTAACTCCCAGGGACCAATCGCACACGGGACGTGCCTGGAGCTGCTTGCAGATTCTGGTGCCCCCCGGTGATTGAACAGGTGCTATGGAGAGTCTGCCTCAGTTTCCCCTTGCTCAGCCAATCACCATTTGGTCCCCAGTCTGCTGGTTCCTTGCCGTGATTCCAGCCAAGTTCACAGTCTCTCCCTTCTCAGGGCGGTGAAGAGTCTAGCAGGTCAGGAGGCCAGTAACCCTAGAGGAGGGCCAGCTGCCTCTTGGGATTCAGGCCCCTTTGCTCTCGGGGGTCGAACCACCCCTCTGTTAGGGCAGGGAGGGGAACCCAGGCCTGCCCACGCCTCTGGGCTCCAGGCCAAGGACTGCTGTGGGAAGCAGTTGGAACCAGCTCCTCCCAGTCCCTTACCGCTCCCCACCATGTGGCTCCTGTAGGCGCCTTCCCAGACACGCTCTGTGACCCTCTTCTCCCAGAGCCCAGAGCCTGAGCAGACTCCTGGGGCCAGGAAGGTGCCTGAACTTTTTTTTTTGAGGGAGGGTGGGCAGCTGAGGGGGTTTTGGCCCCTGCACATCCTGGTTTGGTCAAAACAAATAGGGGGAGGGGCTGCTTACTGGGCTTTTCCACCCTAGCCAAACCCCCAACATGCAGGAAATCTCCCAAGGGAGTCTGAGGATGCTGTAGGCTTCCAGCCCCGTGAGGTGCAGATAGCGTGCAGCGACATGGCTCCTTACAGTCGGTTAGTGCCAGACTGGGCGTGGCCTCTGTAAACAAGGGAGACCAAGCTGGGACTCGAGCTGGGTGGAATCGAGCTTTAACTCAAGAGAACATGCCGAGTTCGGCCACAGGCTCTGGGTTTGATGCAGGACTCACTGGATGGGATTCTGTGTTTTGTGTAATATGGGAGGTCAGACTAATCAGTGTTTCTCAACCTTTGTGATACCAGGGACTGGCTTGCTGCCTTCCTAAACTCTGTCAGGGAGATGGCTAGCGCCAGTCCTGGTCATTGAGAAACATTGGGCTAGCTGATCCCAAAGGCCTGTGCCTCCTGGTTTGGGTGGAGAGTGATTCCATCAATCACGGCCCTGAGGATGATCTTGGAGGTTCATCCCCTTGAATTTTCACAGGTTCCGAAGCAGAGTCTAGATGGGATCAGATCTTCGCTGTCTGCGCCTCTTGCTTGCAGGATTGGGCTGAGCTGGTCACTGGTTCTGAGGCCAAGGAGATTTGGAGAGCATGGATTGATGTCTGGTCCCTCTTAGTCCCAAGAGCGAACAACCCCCAAAACAAAGAGCACAAGCAGCATCCCGGAACCTCCATATTCCCCCCGTCACATAATTATGATATATTTCATACAAAGCATGTCATGTGAGATATCTTATGAAAGGTCATGATCTGCTGAAACCCATTTTTCTGTCAAAATACATATATCCTTAGTGTGGATCAAGTGATGAGATTGTGCTGTCTGGTTGTTACTGAAATATGCTGTAAGTTTGCTAGCGACATACAAAGGAGATGATCCCCGCCCAGGAGGGTGTTCAAGGACCATTAATCAGGGGAGGGGGAGTTGTAATCAAGGGATTTATAATTCAATGACAGTGGCACAAGACCACACCGGGGGGATTGCTCAACCCTGCGACTCAGCAAAACCCACCAGGACATGTCTAGGCTAGTATTTTCCAGGCACATGGACTGGGGGTCTGAAATAAGGGACAGTGGCACCCTGCCTTCGCCTTGCTCCTCCCCCACCAATACTGGAAGCAACAAGAATGCTGAGAAGACGAAGACTTCAACTGCGGAAACTGGTTCTGGCTTAAGGGAGAAGCCTGTGTATTAAGACCTCTAACCTCCAGTGGAGTGAGAAAACCACTTGATCTAAATTCTGCCTAGTGCAAGATTTAGATTGTGTGTTTATCTTTTCTTTTCTTTGGTAACTTTCTCAGAACTTTTATGCCTTCCACTTATAACCACTTACAATCGATCTTTCTGTAGTTAATAAATCCGTTTGATACTTTCCCTAAAACAGTGGGTTTTGCTTGAAATGCTTGGGAAATCTCAGCTCAGTTTACAAAGGCTGATGCATGTCCTCTCCACGGGTCTGAATTTTCCATGCCTCTCTTGGGAAGCAACAGCAGCTAATGCATTAACACTCATCGCCACCTCCCGGTGATAGGGTAGCCCAGGATTTAGAGTGATCAACACCAGAGCCTTGACAAGGGCCTGTTTCAGCCGGGACACTGCTTCCGTGTGTTGTTCAGTCCATTCCCATTGAACATCCCTCTTTAGCAGTTGGTACAAGGGACCTGCAATGGAAGCAAAATTAGGAATGAAATCCCTGTGGAACCCAGTTAAGCCCCAAAAGGATCTTAGCGCTGTTAGGTCCTCTGGTATCGGCAATTGTTGG